CCCCATCTAAATCTAGCAAAACTTAAACTAAGACTAAAAGCAAAGGAAATATGTCTGTCGTCCTCGGAGAATGAAGACTCACCATTGATGCTGTTGAGCTGAAGATCGGGAACTGATCTATGCGTGATTTGGAAGCTGAGGACCTGAACCTACATCACAAGAAGATGTAGCGCAGAGTATGCGTCAATACTTGAAAGGTACTGAGCATGCATGATAGAATAAAGCTGAATAAAAACATAACTGAACAAGCATATATCTGAGCAATGATAAGAGATAAACATGATACTAAACTGAGAATACTGAACATGAACTAACTAAATGCAATGACCAAGTTTATAACATGCTGAGACTGAAATCTGACTATAAGTGATAACATGGTCAATGCAATAGAATCTGATTGTAAGGGAGCTACTAATAACCGACATAAAACACACTAGCTAAATGTGGAGTCCGATGTATACGCCCCATCGAGAGGACCTAATATACCCTGCCAGAGGTATAGAGGCATGACTGACGTGATCACTAAAATGTCACTACAAGAAAGTAGTCGTTTTCCAACAATTTTTTTTGTTGCCATAAAATGTCCCTACAAGAAAGTACATTTGGCAACAATAAAAAAGTTGTTGCAATAAACGCTGATGCGAAAAGGTTTTGCAACAACAAAATATATTTTTGCCAGAAACTAACTTAACCCAACCAAAATAATTGTTGCCTTACATTTAGATAGTTATGGCTTATAAATTTTTTTGCAACAAAATTTAATGTTGCCATAAATTAGTTGTTTTACCAACAATATTTATTATTGCAAGAGCTTCGCAGAACTTAGTTACTAATTTGTTAGAATAGCTTTTAGCGACCACAATTTTTATTGCAATAAATCAAATATTTTTTCATATACCTTTAGCAACAATTTATGATAGTTTCTAGCTGATACAAATTATACATTTCTTTTAAAAATTTATACAAATATTCAAATTAAGAACTATATATAAATGCAAAGGTCAATACACACAAGATTGCACTAGATACTTGCTACATATCATGTCTTTTTTACTACATAGCAAGGTCATTGTATTCTAATCCTACTAGTAATTTAAAAAAAAAATCTTCTTCTTCTAGTAGTACTCGTATAGCAATAGTGTTAAATTATGTATGTTCATCCTGCAAATAAAAGATAAACATTATATTTTGATAGTAAGTTATAAAATACACAAATATAAATTTAAAAAGTAGAAGGAATCACATAATAATACACTACTAAGTATGCCCCAACTCACTTTGATCTTTCGGTTAATCTCCTTATTTCATTTGCACTAAAGAAAAATCGTAATGATAATACCTTTAGGAAAAAAAATTCTAGTGTTCACATACTTCTAGTTTGTATTGCTAGAATTTTATTACTTGAATATTAATAACCTTTGAGTGAAGTCAAAACTTATCATAAACATTAAATAGGTACCTCATACATGAATATATATATATATATATATATATATATATTATAAGCTAATACCAATGAAATCAAGAAAACATAAACAAAATGTAATAGGTAGAGTTATTCGGAACTCCAATGACAACTGAATATTTGATTTTGTAGGTGTTTTTCAAAGTGTCACTCTACTATTGAAATTAGAGGAAACTACATTACTAAATAGGCTCTATCTTGCTCAATACTACAATATTACTCTACTTCATATTAAATATAGAATTCATGCTAACCATAAAGATATTTAGGCAACATACCTCACTTGATTTGTTCTCTAGTTCTATGATTGTTTTCTCAAGCGATAACTTTTCACTCATAATCCAAACTCGAGGGGCGTAACTGGCTCCTAATGCCAAAACTCAGACCCGAGCCGACCCTGCTGAACCATTTGCTATTAGTGCATGACAACCACATGCAATCAAGAAAACAAACAAGTATATCTTGGCTTAAAACTAAGCCCTCGGCCGGCAAGGCCCTTGTCAACTGATCTATAAAAGAAACAACTACTCCCAAGAGATCATATAAATAAATATCCAACTAGCACAGAAGTCCTGATTAGGCCATCGAGGTCACCATGATATCTATACCAAAATTAAAAGCAGGTATATATCAATACAATATATCAAACAGCTCACAAGCTTCAGCAACCCAACAACATAGGCCAGCATGGACATAACGTAGCTATACACCCCACACACTAGTCTGCAAGACGTTAAGAGTAGTAAAGATTAGCGGGACAAGTCCCCAGCCTACCCATAAAGATATATACAAGAAAAGGTAACAAACCTCCCAACTCTGGCAGCTCCGGAGGAAAGGGGCTAGCCAACCGGATAAAAGTCAATCCTGCTACTGAGGAGGTCTACTCAATCGTCTGTCAGGACCTGCATGCATGAATGCAGCGCCTCCAAGGCAATGGGGCGTCACTATAAAATAATGTACAGAGTATGAAAGGCAATAGACAATGATGAGGTATCCTGATATACTGGAATAATCTGATATATAAATCAAGGATAAGATAAGTGTACTAACATGCTCCTAAATCTAAACTATCAAAAATAATAAAACAACAACCTAACCAAGCCCCCCATAAGTTCGGCAGGTACAAACAGCACACAAGACCACCTACTCAGGCCCTCATAAGCCCGGAAGGTGCCAATCAACCCATATACCTATATCGGTAGTCCCCTAGCCCCGTAGGCAGTCACATAGCCCTCTTAGGCATTAATATAGCCCCATAACAGCACATAGTTCTCTTAGG